AATTTAAAAATAAAATAAAGTTCAATAAAATAATAATAAAAAAAAAAAAAGAAGAAGTGGGGAGAAAAGAGAGACAGGGAGAGCCCACCGGCCTGGAGCAGGAGACAGTTGAAATGCGGCAGATCCATAAGCTGAACCGGAAGCTCAGCACAGAGCTGCCAGGGTCTCCTGAAGGACCTTCCATCTGTGAGGTACGAGGGACATCAACTTTCTGTTCTATTTGCAGAGCCCTGAAGAGTTGACACTGGTCACAGTAGGATGAGGGGCTTCCCAGCAGCTCTGCCCTGCCCTGTCCAGCAAGGTCTTAGCAGGGTCCAACCCAACACCAACAGCTAACTCTGATCTCGTCAAGGAGGCGGTGTGTTAAAGGACCAACCAGCTCTATTACTTGCTGCCCTGATCTTAGCGTAAACCTCCCAAGATAAAAATCTCAACTGTAAGCAAATCCACTGATACAGAGAAGTAAGTTTATAAAGCTGTATCATCAGAAGACAGAAACCATGTCAGTTATGTAACAGAATGAATACAGAGAACTGTCACCTAGGCTAACCATCGTTAACTAGGTCATTAAAAAGTCAAAAGAAGGAAGATGGGGCATCACGTAAGTGGCAACTGCAAGAAGCAGCTGCCACCCTTACGGCTGAGGGGACAAAGGAAGTGGATGAGTCACCAATACTTAGAAGCTGGAGGAAGGCCCTGCAGAGCTGGGTCTCAGACCTCCAAGCCGGGCACCAGCATCTGCACTGGTATCCCTGACAGGGTCGCTTCAAAGCTGACCCTGAAAGCACTGGGAAAGCTGCACAGTGGATTTAGAAACTGCTAAGGGAAGAAACTGGGGTGACAAACCCAGGAACCACAGGCAGAGGGGGCAGGCAGAAAGCACCAGAAAAGAGCGAGTGCTGTCCTCCTCCACCCTCGCAGAATCTTTCTGTTGCCTCCTTTGGAGAGCCTGACAGAGAACCAGCCTGAAAGCATACGCAGTTTGCAGAACCCCAGTCCCAGTGTCACAATGCAGAGCGTGGAAGGGGACTTCAGAACGGAGGGACAGTAAGTGGCAAAAAGAGCTTGGCATTACACAGGACACAGCTGTTACCACTGTGCCACCACCTTGTCCCTGAAGTGCACCATCTACCTTTAATCTTTTTTTTGCGGCTATAAGGGCGTATATCACACCCATGAGATGCAGGCAGCCATTTGTGGGGAAGAATGAATTAGGGCCTGCGTACAAATATGAGCCCACTGAAATTTAAAACTCATTAGACGAGCTAAACAGGAGAATAAATCAACTAAACAGAAACACGGTAACCTGGAAGTTTAGGCAGAACTTCCCAGAGCACAGAACAAAGGGAGATGGGGGCAGTTAAATCACCTGGAGAGACCTAAACACTCCAACAATCATGAAAAGAATTCTACAAGTTGAAAATAGAATAGATAAGAAAATGTGTTGGAGGGAGGCTGGTTCTGTGGCCTGGTGGTTAAAACAGCCAATCTCACATGGCAGAGTACATGATTCGAGTCCCAGACCTGGTGGCTTGAGAAACATGCCAGGTGTGTGTGTGTGTGTGTGTGTGTGTGTGTGTGTGTGAGAAACATGCCAGGTGTGTGTGTGTGTGTGTGTGTGCCCCAAATCCTGAAAGGCGGGGGAGTGGAGGAGAAGGGATTGCGATGTTACCATTTCCCATAAGGAGTGCTTTCTCACATTCCCTCGCTGTCTCCACCAGAGCAGCACAGGTGTCCTCTGGCAAGTTAAAAAGAAAAAATATTGGGCCTAGCAGGTAGTATGGTAGTTAGGGACTCCTAACTACCATACTATGGTAGTTACCATACATGGCTGACCGTGGCTCAAGTCCTGGACCTGACGGCTTGCTTTCTCACTTCCTCTCTCTCTCTCTGTCTCTCTCTGTGTCCCTCTGTCTCTCTCTGTCTCTGTCTCCCTGCCTCTCTCTGGTGAGCACACATGCCCTATAGTAATTTTTTAAAAGTAATAATAATAATGATAAATAAAATTAAATAATTCATGTATGTGTGTGTGTGTGTATCTTAGAGATAAAACACAACAAGAAAACAGTCATGATTCTTTTCTTATCTAACATGGATTCAAAATAAAGCAAAATTCAAAGTATAAGGGGTGACCAGCCGGGTATCACGGTGGTTAAGGCAGCCCGATCCCACTCGACCCACTCAGCAGTGTGAGTCCTGGACCCGGGGGCAGAAGAAGATAGACATACCAAGGCATCCGGGAAAGGGGCTGGGCAGAGGGACTAATTCAGGCTATCCAAGGATCAAAGTTTTTGCCAGCCACGTCCAGCAAAGCCCAGAAGCATCTACTGGCCTCAGTGGCCTGGGCAGGCAAACATCATCTATGGGAGGCCGAAATGAGACCAGTGAACAGGATCAACCCTAATGCACCCTGGTCCAGGACAGATGCTTGCGTCTGAGTCCATGGAGAGGTGACTTCTGGCAGCAGGGAAGGTCCAAAGACTAAAAGGGTTCCACCTGCAGGATTCCACATGGTCTGACTGAGCAGTGCTGGAACACTCAGATCAACTGAGAACTGCTGGCTTTCTGAACACGGGGGGCCAGTGGTGCTCAAACCCCGAGCGAAGAGGCTTGCCAACTGAGTAGACTGGCATGGTGTTTTACCTGCACGGCTCGGTGTTTGACAGTGACTACGCAGCAGTCATTTAGCCCGTGTGTAGGATTAATCAGGGTAACTCAGACCCCGCCCCCAACTCTACTGGGCTCAATTACTCCTATTACTTGTTCACATGGATTCAAATACAGGGTGACTATCATTCTTTCCTCTATACCGTGTAACAGAACATCTGTTGAGCTGAATTTAATATTTTTCCCTTTAGTATGAATTCCTTCTTGCCTTCATCCACCTACCCACCCATCTCTCCATTTAACAAACACCTGGGGCGTGGTGGCACCCACCCTGTCACAAGAACCAGTGGAGGATTGCGGCATTGAGTTCATTTAACAGACATCCGATCTAACCTAACACATCACAGGTCCTTGGTGTTCTGTGTTCCATTGTTTGCCGTCTCCTCTGATTACATGTAGATAAGAAAAATAAAGCAAGTTGGTTCGAGTTAAACAGGTGCCAAACACTATCGCAGAATGTTCAGCTAAAATGTTCCAGGTAAATAGCTAGCTGAAAAGAGAAGAGGAAAAGCAGAGGTGGCAGGACTTCAGCGGAGGTGCTGCCGGAAACCGTGCGGCTTTGGCTGACCCCGTGGGAACTTTTGCGTTCTAATCCTGGAGCCCTTCCTGAGTAGCCAGGCACCTGCAGATGTGCTCATGATCAGGACTCGCTGAGATGGTGGATGGATTGCAGGGGAGGGACCCTGCTGGGGGTGCTGTCTCTCTTTTTGTGTCCATGGAACAAATACGTGAAAAAAAGAAGGATGGCAGAGAGAAAAGAGGAGCCTTGTAGACATGGTGGGTGGAAATCCTGTTTCTTATCTGCCTGGGTTTTGACTTGGATCAGGGGAGTTCCTGTGTCTGAGATGCTGAGAAACCCAGCCCATCCCAGGCAGCAGCGAGGGGACAAGATGGGCTGGGAGGACAGGAATTGGAGGACTTATAGCCTGGATTCTGGTGTCAGAGGCCTGAGCCATTCATTCTTTCTGCCTGCCACCTCCCCCACTTCACTGTCCTCCGTTTTCCCAAGAATCAGGAGTCCTGAAGAAAGACAGGAAAGCAGGTGTCTGATTGCCCTCCCCTCCTCCACCCCCAGAAGTTTCTTCTCCACACCTGCACACCCAGGCCTAGGTGGCACCTGCCGGAGGGTAATGACATCAGAGCCTCTTACACACGGCTGGAGTCATTAGCATGCTTCTTCTGCCCACTCCACCAGGATCGAGATTCCTGGGGGCTCCACCAAGGACTCCATCTCATTTAATACTGTGTGACTTGAGGGTGTCCCTAGGACGGGTGAGCTCAGAACTGAGTGGTGCTGGGAACCAGCAGTTAGCGTAATGGCTATGTCGCTGACTCCCACTTAGTCGACCGCGGTTCGCGTCTCGGACCCGGTGGCTTAAATCTCACGCCGGGTGCGTGTGCGTGCGTGCCCAAGATCCCGAGAGGAGAATGGAGGAGAAGGGATTGCGGCGTGACCATCCCCCCTGGGGGGTGATTTCTCGCTTTCTGTCTCTATGTCTCTGTCTGTCTGGCGAGCGCACGTGCCCTATAGCGAAAAACCTCTCCAAAAAAAAAAAAGAACTGAGTGGTGCCCACTACAACACCGACACCAAGGGCTGTGTCCTCTGCAGGGAGAGGGCTGCACGCTCAAGCCTGGGGCCCCGGACCTTGTGCAGTGCGGGGCCTGCTGCAGCACTGCGCCTGCAGGGGCCTCCCTCGAGGAGCCCGAGGCAGAGCTGAGCCCTGCCATCATCCCTGCCATCATCACTCAGCCTGGGCACCCGGCTCAGCTTCGTGTGGAGAGAGTGCAGGGAACCCGCATTAATCTTCCCCTTTGGCAGCTGCTGGACAGCTTTTCTTTCTCTGCAAATCTCAGCCCAGGGTGGCTGGACGGTCATTCCCATTTTCCAGACGTACAAACTGAGGCTTAAATCCAGTGCAGCACCATGTACTCAAGCAGACTGGATGACAAACCGGCTTGGCCCCCTCTACAATATTTCTCTGGGGCTTCCCTGGGGTCCAGGCAGAAATATGGGGACATGTGACCAGGAACGTCTGGAGCAGCCTGGCAGGGCAGTGGGATGGGAGGCGCCCGCCCCCAGGATGCTAATGAGTTCCGCAGGGGCCGACCAGGTCTGAGCTCCTGCCTGCGGAGAAGCAGGGGGCGCTGGGCTGGCCACTAGCTTACCGGGCCACTAGCTCCCCGCAGCAGGAGCCGAGGCCACCGCGCTCGCAAGGGCAGGCACTAAGGGCCGGCAGGATCCGACCAAAGTTGGCGAGTCGCCACAGGGCCGGCCCCAAACCCGCCACCGCTGGGTGGCGGGGTTGTTCCGCCCTTTGCCCCGGGCTAATTAATGAGGTGGCCAATGGGCTGCTGGGTGGAGCCGCGCCCCTGCGAAGGATCTGGCCGGCCTCCGCCGCCCAGGACACGGCTGCAAGAAGACGCTCCCGCGGGACCATGGAGCGCCCTGTGAAAGTGAAGACGTGGGTGGAGGAGAACCGGGCCTCCTTCCTGCCCCCCGTATGCAACAAGCTCATGTGAGTCCTGGGCACCCCAACACCAGCGCCCTCTGCCCTCACGTCCTCCTACACTAGCTCTTGCACCTGGACCCTCACCTCCAGCTCCAAGTTCTTCACCAGAAGCCTGTCGGGGGGCTGTCATTCTCTCGGTGCCTTCAGGCAGGATGAGGACCGCTGGTTCCGGGTTGCACACTCTCGGTCTCTTCCTCTTTTTGTGACTCTGCAGTAAACTGTGGCCTTGATTTCGAGGGTGGCTGGGGAGGCTCTGAGGCTGTAAGAGACTGGATGGTGAGGCTGGGGAACAGCTATCCAACCCCAAAGGACTTCCGTGCACTTTGGGAAAACCCAAGAATTTGTGGAACATGGTTATCAGGCCCCAGAAATGCAGTGGAACCCGGTCTGGGGGCAGCTGGAGCACACACCACCTTGGCCAGGAAACTGCAGGCGAGGGGTGAAGTCAGAGGCCAGCTCCTTCTGGAGGACTGTGGCGTGCGGTTTCTTCACAGGCATACGCACTCACAAGCTGTCACACCAGGCCTGCCTCGGCCGCCTCTGCCTGCAGCACCCTGTAGGACTGCCCTGACAGGCCCTCTTTCTCCAGCAGCCCTTTCAGGTCCTCCCTGGGGCCCCATCACCCCCGCCCCCCAGCCTCATGGCTGGACCTGGCATGCTCCCCAGAACCAGGCTCACATCCCAACACTTGCCATGTCACAGGACATGTCCAGGGGGGTGACACCGCCAACCAGAAAGCTGCAGTCACGCACACGCACAGGTCAGAGTCCACGCTAAGTGTTTTTACATCAACTGTTTTTATTCTTGCAGTAGCCCCATGGGGTGGGGTTTTAATAAGTTTACAGTGTCATGGAGCTAGTGAGTGGGGGCGCTGCAGACTCACACCCTCGGAACAGTTCGACTTCAAAGTCCGCACATGCTCCTGGTCACTGCCTCATGGTCAACATCTCCCCAAAACTCCTTCTCTTCTACCACTGTTGTCGCACCTAACGCCAAGCTTTGCCATCTTTACCTCTTTCTTCCACTCGTCCCTGTCCACAGTCTAACATCCATCTGTTCTCGAGCCCCACAGTCACTGCCTGGTTCCACCCTTGTCACCCCCAGCCTGGGCAGTACTGGCTACCCTGTCTCCAGGCTCCCACCCCACCGTCCAGCACAGCCCAATACAGGAGGCGCAGGCCTCCTTTATTCATCTCCAATGTTCACTGAGCACCTACTACATGCCAGGCTGTTCTGCGCCCTGGAAACACAGCCGGAAACTGCCACAGTCAGTTATGGGGCTGACATTCTGGGGGAGGAGGCCATAACGCAGATAAACTACTCGAGGGCGCCAAGGCAGGCGGCAGGCAGACTGGCGGCCCACAGGTCAGGGTCAGAACTGTGGCTTGACCCCTGTATTTGTTTGTTGGGACCGAGCAGCGGAATCTGTCCCGAGCCAGTGCCCTGCCTGCTGGCGGTGGGCTGGTGTCACTGGTGGCATCACTGGTGTGCCTGGGCTTCTGTGCACCACGCCGATCTCCACCTTCACCTTCACGTGGCATTCTCCCTTTCTGTGTCCGTGTCCAAATTCCCCCTCTCTATACGGACATCGGTCATCTTGGATCAGGGCCCACTGTCCTGTGGTGTGACCTCGTCCACACTCAATCACATCTACAAGACCCTCTTCCCAAAGGTCACATTCTGCTCTCTTGGGGTGTGGACTTCAACAAATAAACGGGCAGGGGTAGGGGTCGGGGGTTCAACCTATAACCCCTGCAGTGAGATGAGAAGCTGCTAGAGGGTTTTGAGAAGAGGAAGGACAGGATCTGGCTTAGGTTTTGTGACTCATGGGCTGAAATATTTCAAGAACTTTCTATATGGACCTAACTTATAGCTCAGAAAAGTTTATTTTATTTATATTTATTTATTTTAGAGAGAGAAAGAGATTTTTGCTGTAAGACATGTACGCTTGCTGGAGAGACAGAAACAGACACAGAAAGCTAGAAATCACCCCTCGGGGGGATGGCCACACTGCAATTCCTTTTCCTCCATTCTCCTTTTGGGATTTGGGGCACACGCATATGTACCCAGCATGAGTTTAAGCTACCAGGTAACTATTATGCCATCTGTTGGTCCCCTAAAAAGTTTATTTTAAAAGGAAAACGCTTGGGCTAGCCAGTGTGGCTAAGGCAGCTGGATCCCACATGGCCAACCACGCATTTCAAGTCCTGAGCCCAGTTGCTTGAAAAACCCACCAGGCTCGTGTGTGTGCGTGCCTGCACAAAATCATGAGAGGCGAATGGAGAAGGGATTGTGGGGTGGCCGTGCCTCCAGGTGACAATTTCTCCCTTTACCCCCTCCCTCTCTCTGACAAGTGTATGCATGCTATAGCAAATTTTTAAAAAAGGAAAAGAAGAAAAATCTTTCTGAGGCTCCCTGGCACGCTTATGGCCAAAACTGAGTTCCTCGACTGTCCCCCCACCCCCCCACCTCAGTGCTTCAGTCTCAGGGCCTCGGCCTCGGTACCAGCTCTCCCCTCCACTCCCTCAGCCTCATACCTGGAAGCCTCTCCCGCAGCTTTAACCCAGCGCAGAACTGCCCCATGCCAGCCTCCTCCGCACCTCCTGAGACACCAGGGAGGAATGTGTGCATGAAAGGGGAGGGAAAGGAAAGTGGTCACATCTTCTGTGCTGTCCCCACACCTCCCGAGTGGAAACCAGCCCACAGGGCAGGACACTCAGCAAGGACTTATCAGTCTTGTTTTGTTTTTTAATTACTTTATTTAACTTTATTTATTTGAACTTGAGAGGAACAGAGTGAGCGAGAGAGAGGGAAAGTGAGAAAGCAGGTCACCAGGTCCAAGACTCAAACCATGGTCGGCCACGTGGGAGTCCAGCACCCTTAACCACCACGCCACCTTCCGGCCCCAGTCTGGGTTTGAGGTCTCAGGACCTCCCAACCCCCCCCCTACACACACATAAGAGGCAACCTGGAGACCGCAGTGACTGCACAGATGGTCCCAGCTGCGCCCATGCCTCACCCTCTCCAGGAAAGCCCTTGGCCCTACAGACCCTGAGTTCCACCCAGGCACCTCCCACTGCCATCAGCCCCAGTGCCTGGGCTCTGGCGATGGGACCCTCCTTGAGTGCATAAAGTCAGCTGTAGAGGGTTGTGCTAGGTTTACTTACCACATAAACAGTGCCTGCTACATGGCAGGCACTGCTCTGAGAGTTTTCCCACGTTAATTCGCGTAATTCACTGAACCTCTGTGAAGTGAGGACTGTCTCTCCATTTTACGGATGAAGAAGCTGAGACCCAGAGAGATTAAATAGCATGCCCAAGGTCAGTGGTAGAGCCAGATTTGACCTGCAGAGGCTGGCTCCAGAGCCTGGATTTGGGTTTTGTTTTGTTTTGTTTCTTAGTTTTTTGCTACAGGGTTTCTGTGCTCACCAGAGACAGAGAAGGAAAATGAGAAAACGCTCTCCCCTCAGGGGAGGTGGCTGCGCCACAATCCTTTCTCTTCCATTCTTATCTCGGGACTTGGGGCATGCACGCACACGTGCCAGCATATTTCTCAAGCCGCCAGGTCCAGGACGGAAACAGGTGGCCACATAGGATCCAGCTGCCTTAACCTGCTGGCCCCGGAACTGAGGTTTTTCACTGCTGGCCCCGGAACTGACTTGACACTGCTGCCTGAAGCCCCTGCTCGGTGTCACAGTCCTCTGAGTCCACGGAGCCAGGCCTGGCAGCCTGCAGACCGGGAAGTGGGGCACCTCGCTCCTCTGTAACAGGTCTTGAGCACACTCGGGGGTCCTGGGAGATGAAGCCGCGGATCCCCCACCTTGCTGGATCAGAGGAAGTGGGGGTGCTCACAAAGGGACAGCCACACACAATCGTGGGCACATGTTCAGATGTGTGGGCACACGTTCTGGATAGAGTGGAGAGGGGACGGGGGGGGGGCAGAGACAGCCCTGCTCCCTCTCTCCCTGCTGGCCCCTGGGGTCCTCTGCACCCTTCTCTCCTTGGTCCCAGAAGCTGACTGAGGGCCTCTCCCCACTTGGCCACTGCAGGCACCGGGAGCAGCTCAAAGTCATGTTCGTCGGGGGCCCCAACATCAGGAAGGACTATCACATCGAGGAGGGTGAGGAGGTAGGCTGGGACTGCCCCTGCCCTGGGGGCTACCCTGTGGGGAGGATCAGAGAGGGGTGAAGGGGCACAGCTGAAACCCCAGGGCAAACCCCTGACAGCCCATCCCAGGGAGTGGCCCAGGCACTCCTTCAGGGGAGTCCTACCCCTGTGGGCACAGGGGCACCCACATCCATGCTCCAGGCGGGGTCCCCCGGTCCCCTGCCCCCAAACCTGAACATACACCATTGGCTTCCACAATGAGACCTGAGCGAGTGCTGAGGGGACCTCGGTGCACCCCTCTACCCCATGAGCCAGATTCTGGGCAGTTTCCTCTGCTGCAGCTGGGGCAAATCCAGGAACAAAGTGGGGGTGGGAGGGCCGGGGAGGGGTGAAGGAGCAGGCATGGGTAGGGGGCCCACAGCTGAGGGAGGGGTTGGCCCTGGTGGCCCCTTCTTATCTAGAGACACTTCAGTTGCCAGGAGCTACGTGAGAAGGAATTTCACTGAATACCTTTTGTACCTTGACTTCTGAACTGTGTTTTCTCTACTTCCTCTGCCCAAAAGTTAAAAAAAAAAAAAAAAGTAAAATGAAAAGAGAAAGGTGGGTCTCATTAAGAAGCACAGACACCAGGGTCCCTGTCATCAGAAAAGGCCAGTATAGGACTCCCCACCCGACCCCCCTCGTCAGCTGGTGAGGGGCTGCTTCCAGGGGCTCCAGGGCCAGAGCCCAGCCTGGCCGCCAGCCCCTACCCTACTGCTGGCACTTGGTAGGTTCAGCACCTACTCACTGGGCACTCAGCATGCGCATGGGTGCCCCCAGACAGCACAGGCAGAGGGAGGCAGATGGCCGGGGGAGCAAAGGCACTGAGCAGAGCCTGCCCAGCCCCTCCTCCACCCCTCCCCACCACCCCTCTCCACACACACCTGCTAGGTGGTGGAGGAGGCATGGCTGTCTCGTCAGCCCGATCTTCCCCGATCTTCCCCCCCATTAGCTCTGCTCCCAGAATCTACTGTCTTCTTCCCTTCCTGCCCCTGCCACCTCTGCCACACTCAGTCCACAATCACACCAAACTGCTCAGGTGGATGGGTGTCCCCTGGGGGGGGGGGGGGGGGTGCCCCAGCCATGTCCTGTCCCAGCTGGTGTCCTGGAGATGAGGAGGGCTGGCCGGCAGAGCTGTCCTCACTCTGGAGGGACACTCAGGTGGCTGAGGGCTGGGAGGAACTTGGCTGGAGGTGGGTTTGTGACAGGATTATTCTACCCTGCAGGAGGTTGGGGAGGAAGTTGTCGGGGTGTAGGGCCTGCCCCTGGCCCAGGCCCTGGGGACTTTAGGGCTGAAGGTCTGCACCCTCCCTGCCCCTGCCAGTCCTCACCCAGCTGGATCCTGGGGAGACTAGGCTTCTCCCAAAAAGTGAGGAAAGAGGGGTCACTCAGATGTGGGTTTGAATCACACTTTTTACTCACTGTTCCTCCTCACTGAGCTCTGGCCTCTGCAATAGCTGCCAGGTGCTCCAGCTCCCTGCCTCCTGGCTGGGAGGCAGGGGAATCTGGACAGAGTATCTGCCTCTCATTAACCATGTGATCTTGGACAGGGCACCTTACGTGCCCTCTCTGAACCCGTTTCCTGTAGCACCCGGGATAATGGCCCCAGCCTGGCAGAGGGATTCAGTGTGTGCAGAGTGGGCGTGTGCAGAGCCTGGCGCAGTGTGTTAATAGGTTGGCTCCCTGCACCTCACCCCCTCTCTGCCTGTCCATGGGAGGCCAGGATTCCGGCTTTTTATCCCCACGCCAGCTTCACTGATTCTGCCTGAGTGGGCCAGCTCATCTCCTAGCTAGCCCCGGGCCCCAAACATCATCACTTCTAGCCTGAGCTTAATTCCTTTTGGATTGCCCTTGGCTGTTGGGGGTTTTCTGCAGTTCAGTGACCTATCCCCATGCTCCAGGCCAGGCTGGCCTCTCATCACAGGGAAGTCCTCTGGGCAGCAGACAAGACAGGAAACCACTGCCACTTTTCATGGTTTTGCTTGGTGGCTGCTAATCCCTTGTAGCCTGCCTGGGAAAGGTTTGCATGTGGCCCAGACCCGCCCCCTCCTAATTTCCTCTAATATTTTTAGGGTCAAGGGCTCTGGCCCCCTTCCCAGAGCTCTATGGGCCTCTACTCTCCTCCCCTACGTAGAGAAAGAGAGAAACTCACACGCGCGCATGCGCGCGCACACACACACACACACACACACACACACACAGTGTGGGGGAGGGGAGGGGACCTGCTGGATGTCTCTTTACAGGGAACCTGGTAGGGTTATTATTTGTATTAAATAATAAATGTGGGTTGTTTTTGGTTTCTTTTATAAATTTGCTGTAAGGTGTGTGCACTCGCCAGAGATAGATAGAGATAGAGAGAAAGAGAGAGAGAGGAAAGATGGAAAGTGAAAAATCACCCTCCAGGAGGGATGGCCACGCTGCAATCCTTTCTCCTCCATTCTCATCTCGGGATTTGGGGCATCCACGCACATGGCCCAGTGTGTTTTCCAAGCCAGCAAATCTAGGAAACAAACCGCGGAGCTGGCCATGTGGGATCCAGCACCTTAACCCTCATGCCACCAGCTGGCCCAAATTTGGGCTGTCTTTAATACTGAAAGTAAATATTGTTCATTGTGGAAAACACAGAAAGAGAAAGAGTATGTTTACCTCATTCCCAATCTCACCACACGGGGCAGCCACCGTGAATGAACGTGTCCCCTCCTTCATGTTGTCACCACATAATTAGAGTCCTGCCAGGTACATAGTTGTAAATATTGCTTTAACCTAACTTTCACATTTTCTTTTTTTGGGGGGAGAGGTTTTTGCTATAGGGTGCGTGCGCTCGCCAGACAGAGAGGTACAGAGAGAGAGAAAGGGAGAAATCACTCCGACAGAAAGTGAGAAATCACTCCCCCCCAGGGGGGTGGGGTGGGATGGCCATGCCGCAATCCCTTCTCCTCAATTCTCCTCTCGGGATCTTGGGTACACACACACAAGCCACCGGGTCTGGGACGCGAACCGCGGTCGACTACGTGGGAGTCCATCGACATAGCCATTACGCTAACTGCTGGTCCCTCGCATTTTCTATTTTATCGAGTTACTCAGACATATTTTTTAAAGGCTGCATCATGCTCCATGTTTTGAATTTACCGTCAACTGTCGACATTCCCCTATTACTGTTTTCTTTTAACTAGTTTTCTTTTAACCAGTCGTTCACATTCTTTGTTATTTTTTTTCCTTTTAAACAATTTTAGCATTATTTTATTTAACTTTATTTATTTTAATTTGACCAGAGAGGGACAGAGTAAGTGAGAAAGAAAGCGAGAAAGCAAGCTGCCAGGTCCGAGACTTGAACCGCAGTTGGCCATGTGGAGTCCAGCACCTTTAACCGCCACACCACCTGCCGACGCCATTCCCTATTCCTGTTATTAGCATTACTTTTGCAACCCCTGCCATTCCTGGTATTCGTAGCTAGAGGTTTACTGAGTGCTTACTATGCGTGGGGTGCCTGTGTGTACAGTACCCTGGGCGGTCTGCACAGCCATGTCCTGAGTAGATACCGTCATTTTATAGATGAGAAAACCGAGGCAGAGGCCTAACTGAACTGACTAGGAGGTTCCAGTGCCCTGGCAGAGCTGAGGGCCAGGAGGTAGGCTGACCCGGGAAGCTGGGTTTGAACTGCGCACTGTAAGAAGCCAGCACGTCTTTAGCGTCCTTGAGCTCAGCTTGACTGTTCTTGGAAGATGCTGTCACGAGACCCTCTACTCTAATTCTTTACATGATAATAATCAATATTATTCTTATTAATAACACCCCTTTAAGTATTTGTCTGCGGCTTTTAACAGCCTGCAACGTGTGACCAGTGGAAGGAAACCCGCTGCACCTCCTCCTCCCATCCCCATGGGTGAACTCCAGTCATTAGGGACTTTGGCTGGCACAGGAACAATGCAGGACCCCACCCCAAACTGTGAGAGAGTAGGAGGGGCATGCTCCTGGCCCCCTGGGCTGCCAGCATCCCTGAGACCACCATTTACACCTGCTGAGTCCACAGCCCACCCCACACCAGGGTGTCACCAGCCAGAGGAACCAACACAGGTCCCAGGGCCGAGCACACTCAGGTCCACCTCGGCTGCAGGACTAACTGGCTGTGTGTCCCTGGGCAAATTGCTCTCCTCTCTGAGCCTCAGATCTCTTTTTTGTCTTTTTCACAGGATGGGGCTAATAACACCTTTGGGGGGCCAGCGGGTGGTGTGGAGGTTGAGGCACTGTACCCCCACATGGCTGACTGCATGGCCCACGACCTGGACCTATTGGCTTGAAAAATATGCCAGGCATGTGAGTGTGCCCAAAATCCCCAGGGGAGAATGGAGGAGAAGGGATTGCAGCGTGGCCATCACTCCTGGGGGGTGCTTTCTCATGTTCCCTCTCTCTCCAGTGCATACGCCCTATAACAAAAAACAAAAAGGCCAACTCTGGAAGTTGAAAAGATTTCTGAGAATGTCTACAGAAGTGCTCTGTGCAGCCCAGCCACATGGCACACGGACGATCCTCTTCTCTGGCCTGGCCACTAACTTCATCTGTGAACATCACTTCCAGCCTCCCGCCACTGCTGCGGCACCTTGGGTCCTCTGACCTCACATGTGTGCTCGAGATACAATCTCCGTGCGTCCTTAGCACTCTCGTCTGTGTCATGCATCAGGGGAGACGGCCTCGGGACAGTGGTGACTGATTTTCCTGGTCAAAACACAGTGTCTGTGCCTTAGCCACTGTCACCGGCTCCCACATGGCCGACCGCTGTTCAAGTCCCAGACCTGGCTGCTTGAAACTCACACCAGGGGCACGTGTGCATGCGTGTCCACAATCCCGAGAGGAGAATGGAAGGAAAGGGGTTGTGGTGTGGCCATCCCCCCGGGGGGTGATTTCTAGCTTTTTCTCTGTCTCTCCCATGATCACGTGCACCTTTATAGCAAAAATCTAACCACAAAAACCCAGGGCCTGGGCAGTGGCCACAGACTTGGAAGTGAGCATGTGAGGGCCCAAGCCTCTTTGCTGTCCCACAGGTGTTTTACCAGCTGGAGGGAGACATGGTCCTCCGCATCCTGGAGCATGGGAAACACCGGGATGTGGTCATTCGGCAAGGAGAGGTGAAGCTGGAGTTTGGGGGGCGGGAGGCAAAGGGCTGCCAGACAAGGGCCCGCCCTGCCACGTGTCCCGGGCCTGCCCTCTCCTGCTTGCCCTGTCCTTGGGCACCCACCCCCTAAGCTAGCCTGCTCTCAGCACAGCCCAACATTTTCCCCAGCTTTCGGGAAGCCTTGGGTGCTGGGGGGCACTGAGGGTTCCATGAGGGCTCGCGGCCTTGTCAGGCACCTTGTCATCACTCCTGCAGATTTTCCTCCTGCCTGCCAGGGTGCCCCACTCACCGCAGAGGTTTGCCAGCACGGTGGGGCTGGTGGTTGAGCGGAGACGGCTGAAATCGGAGCTAGATGGGCTCAGGTAGGTGCACGCTGTCCGGGGCTGCTGTGGAGAGAAGGCAAGTGGAGGGGTGTGGCCCCACATGCGGCAGAAAGGATCCTTGGGAGACTGGAGAAAGCACTGCCTGGCCACTGAGAGAGTGGGAGGGCTTTGCAGGGAGTTGACGGTGGAGGGAGTGGTCTCTGGGACTCCCTGAGAGTACACTTAGCCAACAGCTTCTGAAATCAGAACCTGTGCTTCCTTCATGGCCCACTGGAAGGGGTGGGATGCAGAAAGGGGTGCAGGGATACTGAAGCTGCACCCACCTACCCCAGTGCAGCCAGGAACACTGTTGCTTCTCCCCAGCATTTAGTCTCGGGGGCCTCCTCTGCTAGTTCCTCTACCCCAGCTCATTCAGCACCAGCACCAACGTCTGGGTAGCAGGTGCTACGTGCCAGACCCTGACTCAGGGCTTTGTTTTATCCACTTAATTCTTCTGGTAATCCTGTGAGGTAGGTACTATTATTATCCATACTGCACAGATTAAGAAAACTGGTCCTGGGCCAGCAGATGATGTAGTGATTACGTTGCTGGACTCCCACATGTCTGGCTGCGGTTCGAGTCCTGGGCCCAGTGGCTTGAAGGTCATACAGGACGAGTGTGTGTGCAGACATGCCCAAGATCCCAGGAGGAGAATGGAGAAGAAGGGATTACTACGTGGCCATCCCCCCTGGGGAGTGATTTCTCACTTTCCCTCTCATTGTCTTTGTCTCTGTCTCTGTCTCTCTCCCTCTGGTGAGCACACACACACCCTAAGGCAAAAACTTCTTAAAAAAAATAAAGTGGTCCCAGGGGAGTTACTTTACTAGGATTTAACTTGCTAGATCTGATATTCTAAAGGAATCTGAAGTTAGGGCTAGGGCAGCACAGAGAAGTGGGAAGTGACGACACAGAGGGAAAGACCTCAGGCCGCCTACAGATACTCTGATTCCATGGCTGTGGTGCCATTTGGTTCTGATCAGTCATTCAATTATCCCATGGGACCAGCAGATGGCGTAATGGCTATGTCGTTGGACTCCCATGTCGTTGACCGCGGTTTAAGTTCTGGACCCGGTGGCTTAAAATTCACGCCGGGCGTGTGTGCATGCATGCCCAAGATCCTGACAGGAGAGTGGAGGAGAAGTCTCTCTGTCTCTCTGTCTTTCTGGCAAGCACACGCGCCCTATAGCAAAAACCTCTCCAAAAAAAAAATTATCGTCCCCTGAGAGGAAGAAGTAGCCTGGAGCTCAAGGGAAGCAAGACTGTACCAAAAGGCACACTGGTTTTTTGTTTGGTTGGTTTTGCTTTTTCATTTTTAAAACAAATTCCAGGACCAGCAGATGGCGTAGCAGTTACGTCACTGGACTACATGGCTGACCGTAATTGGAGTCCTGGACCCTGTGGCTTCAAAATCACACTGGGTGTGTGTGCGTACATGCCCAAGACCCCAGGAGGAGAATGGAAGAGAAGGGACTGCGGTGTGGTCATCCCCCCGGGGGGTGATTTCTTGTTTCCTGTCTTTCTCTCCAGAGAGCACACACGCCTTAGAGCAAAAATCTCTAACAATAATAATTGTATGAATATCTCATACTATTTTTTAAAAGTCTTTTCAAAGAAACACAACATTCTCAGCTGCATACACTTCTGCATCACCGCATCAGCCCTGTGTCTGGTGTGCACAGACGCCTGGCCTGAAATTCTAAAAGGACTTTTTCACGAAGGGTTCATATCGGGAGTGTTTAGTGATGGAGAGGACAGTGTCCTCAATAACATTTTACAGCAAATTCAATAACAGATTTCATCTGGCTGCTTTTGACCTTTAATAAAAGCCAGGAACTCAACATAAAAATGCCACTCTGAAGGCAGTTCCCAGAGGGCCTTGTAGTCCAGTTATTAAGCTTTGTGGAGGCCGGCTCCATCCCAGGAGAGAACTTAGGGTGGCAGGTGGCTGGTTGCAAGGAGCGACTATCTATAATCCCTCCCACCAGCGGGACCACTCTCTTTCTCGCAGGAGTTGAAAAGCAGACGGAGCTGGGCTGGGGATTACACATCCTGCTACCAGGTGACCTAGGGCACGGAGGCCTGGGCACAGCCCAGACTCTCAGGAGCTCCCTGGGACAGTGAAGGAGCGCACTAGGCCGGGCTGGGCAATGGTGGGCTTTAGCGACTTCTGAAGGATATGTGTACATGCACGTGGCTTTGCTCCAGTCCTCACAGGCAACTGTAACCCTGAGAGATCCCTTCACCTGGGTGCTGTCTTCCAAATGTCGGCTTTTCAGGATCAGTGTACTCTGACCTCGAGCCCCACAGGCAGGCAGGACATCCAGGTGCTGGCGGTGAATCTAGCTTCCTCTTTGGGAAAAGCAAAAACACTTGGATTGGACACTCTCTAAGCTTCGCAGACTCAAGTTTGGGCTGTTTCTGCTGTTTACAGGCCGGGTGATCCTTGCTAAGTCGCTCAGCCTTTCTGAGCCTCAGGGTTCTAGCTGCTTTGTAAGTGGTCTGCTCTGGGGAATGAGAAAGAGCTTTGCATGTCCAGGTGATAGTCCTCCACTTGGGGGGCACCCACGTGCTTCTGGAAGTGCCAGGACTAAGCAATCAAGCACCGACCACTAGGTTGTGCTAATGGGAACAGCAGGTGGCCCAGCCCTGCAGGGCCAGGGCCCCCAGTCACAGGCAGGGCCCGACCTGAGAGGCTGCTCCGAGGTGGTCATGATGGAGCGGGGTTGCCTGTGCTCTGCCCTGGCAGGTACTACGTGGAGGACACTGCGGACGTCTTGTTTGAGAAGTGGTTCTATTGTGAGGACCTCGGCACACAGCTGGCCCCCATCATCCAGGAGTGAGCCCACAGTCCAGCCCTTGCCCCTCCTGCCCTGGGGCCATCATGCCCAGGAATTAGGAGAGTCTCCCTCTGGGTGGGGGCAGAGGCTGGAGAGCCCACTGGGGAGGGAGAGGGCTGCCCCGCGGGTGGGAGGGCAAAGATGTGGATGAGCCCTCCCCCCGCCATGAGTGTGCTGTGTGTCACTGACCACTCCAGCCAGAGCGTCACCACCCCTTCTCCTGGGTGTCCCTGCAGGTTCTTCAGCTCTGAGCAGTGCCGAACAGGAAAGCCCATTCCTGGTGAGGCCACAGGGAACCACCTTTCCTTCTCCCTTCCTCTCCCAGGGTCCTGGCCCAGGGACCGGCAGAGTCTGAGTATTCTGCCCAGTACTAACAGTACCAAGATGGCAGTGGATAGTAACCCCCACAGAGCAACTCGGTCATGGAGTTGGATCCAGAGCCCGCTCTGGTGACTGACTGCTGGGGCCTCTGGGAAGCGGGCCCGCTGTGGCTGGGGGTGGGACTGGGGCTGGGGCTGGCCCAGAGGACACTGACCACAGCCATGCCACGGGAGCAGATCAGCTGCGCAAGGAGCTGCCATTCCCTCTACCACAGCCATGCCACGGGTGCAGATCAGCGGCGAAAGGGCCTGCCATTCCCTCTGAGCACACGATCCGTCACGGAGCCCATGTCCCTGACGACCTGGCTGGACGGCCACCGCAGGGAGCTGCAGGCAGGCACACCCCTCAGCCTGTTTGGGGACACCTATGAGACCCAGGTAATGCAACCCTGGGTCACTCGGGGTATCCGCCTAGCAGCCGCAGGAAATGGGAACTCATTCTCTCCCTCCCTCTCTCTCTCTCTCTCTCTCTCACACACACACACACACACACACACATTCTGGAGGTTGTGGCATGAGCACTGGCCTTCCTGCTTCTGCCCTGACTCTGAGAACAATGGTTTTGCTCCAAGTGAGTCTGTGGCAGCCACCTGGTCCCAAGAGATCTTTCTTTGCTTTCAGAGTAGGGAGTTGCCCCTTCCACTGGCAACCTCCTGAGGGTCTGTCACTTCTCCCCTGCTGGGAATTCCTGAGACTTCAGCCAGCAGCCTTGGAAGCCAGAGGGAGAGAGGTGTTTGGGGTGAGGGCTTAGAGGAGAGGGGCAGAGCGATCCAAACAAAGCCAACCTTTTTCAAGCAGAGTTTGTGGGGAGCCTATTGTTTCAGGCTGTTTTAGGTGTGGTAGGAGAGAGCCTGCCTCAAAGACTGAGGTCTGGTCAGGGAAATGGGCGAGTTAACCAACAATTGCCACGACTGATATATTATTTGTTAAGGAAGCTACAGGAACCCCATAGGCAGATAAAGGAAGAACACAGGCTGGGAGAGAAGTCAAGGACGGCTTCCTGGAGGAGGCCCTCTACAGCTTGAGTTTTAAAACTAGTGTAAGTGTTTGCAAAAGGAAGAAAGGGAAGTGGAAAGGGCGTTCTAGGTGGGGAGAGGCATGAGCAAAGGCCTGGAGCTGGACACAGCCTGGCACTACAAGCAGCTGAGGTGGGCCATGGCCAGGGCAGGGGAGTGGGGGCATAAACAACTGGTGGACAGCAGAGCCGCAGGCAGGACCGGGTCCTGACGGGGCAGCTGGGCAGGGCAGGAGGAGGGTTTGTCCTAGCCACACAGGGCGTCACCCTACACTGAAGGTGGGGAGCGATTAGGCTGGAGGTGTTTCAGGAAGACCACCTGAGCCACCCTGTGTGGGGACGGTTCAGAAGGGTGAGAGGGAGGGAGGGAGCCCTGCTCGGAGGCTGGTACTCACCTGTGCTTCAGAATCTGCTCCGGGACAGGTATGCGGTTGTTAGTCACACTGCGGAGGGGTGCTCGCTGGACCCGGGCCTGCCCGCTTCTCCTGGGGACCAGGGCCCCAAGCTTCTCCAAGGCTGAGAGAGCAGGGAGCACCCCACAGAGCCCTCACCCACACAGCAGCAGTGTTCCCCGGCCCTGGGCTGGCCTGGTGGTCCTGCACCCACCTCCTTCACACCTCTGCTCCTCCTGGCTTCGGTCTACACTGCAACATCGAGTCCCACTCTGGGCCAGCAGACACATGGCCCCTGCACAAGAGCTGTAGGGCTGTGGGCGGATGCAGGACAGAGACCTCAGGCCCGCTCTCCTTCTGAGGCCAGACTCCGAACATCTCGCAGAGAAGGGATGTAGGCCCCTCTGGGGTTGTGTGTCCACATGAGTTCTGGTCTCTGCACACGTGATAGGCCGTGTCACGTGCTGCACTACTGGCCCACACAGGTCTGGTGTTGGGTCAGGTCCAAATCCGCGTCCCATGTGGGGCAGAAGCACCTGAAAGATGTGTCACCTCCCACCCCAGGTGATCGCCCACGGACAGGGCAGCAGCAAAGGCCCGCGGCAGGACGTGGACGTGTGGCTGTGGCAGCTGGCAAGTGGGGCCCTAGGAAAGGGTGGCACAGTCCCAACCCAGAGACCAGGCAACCTAGCCTCGGGCCCTAGGGTGGCACCTGCTCCCAGGGCCTCCTTGCTGTGGCAGTGCTGAGGCCCTGCAGCCTCCATCTGATTCCCTGACCCTCCCCCAGGAGGGCTCCTCAGTGGTAACCATGGGGGGACAGCGCCTGAGCCTGACTCCCGACGACAGCCTCCTCGTGCCAGCTGGGACTCCGTGAGTACAGGGGAGGATGTCCCCACTCTGGGGCTGCCTTCCTTCCCCGGGCTCCTCCTGGCCGGCCTTAACGACCCCCTGCTCGTCTGTCTGCACAGGTATGACTGGGAGCGAGCGCAAGGCTCGGTGGCCCTGTCTGTGACCCAAGACCCTGCCCGCAAGAAGCCCTTGTGGTGACCCTCTTGTTCTGGGCCTGTGGCAGGCACAGGGTGCCTGAGCACCGTCCAGCTTGACAGCTCCCCAGCGCCCCCGTCCCCTGTGGACTGACCCTGAGCGTTTCAGCGTCCCCACGCCGACCCCCGGGTATCAATGTCAGCCGTCCTCCTGCCACACTCAGCCCAGGTCCAGGCTCCTGGGCCCAGGCGCTCGCCTTCTCTAACAGCCTCAGCCGGCTGCCCGCATGGGAATGCCAGGTGGTGTCCCGCCTAGGGCTGGGCTGCCGCTCCGTCCTTCTGTCCCCACCGCCTCAGCACAGCACTTGCCTGCACCAGGAAAACCCTTAATAAAGACTTCTGCATGCACACGGGCTGTGGGTCAGCGACCGGGCCTTTGTGCTCCCCATGACCGTGTTGTGTCTGGGGCACCACGTGACCACAGTGTTGGGGGTCTGTTAATGCTGAGGACGGGCACTCATCACTGTGTGACCCGGCCCTGGCGTGCTCCTGTCAGGCCCAGGAGGGCAGAGGTGGGCAGAGGAGACTTGGCTGCTGAAAGGGCTTTGGCCGTCGCTCTCACCCCGAGGGCGTCCTCTCCCATAGGCAAGGCCCTACACGGCAGCCTCCTCCAAGCAAACAGCCGAGCGGCCAGGAGCGGAGGCTCGGGTGGACCTGGGCTGCAGCAGGGAGAGACGCCCGGTCAGAGAATAGGCGGCCACAGGAAGAGGAGTCTACCCTTGGCATTAGAGACCACATCTAATACCAGATAGACAATTAGGACAACCAGCTCTTCACTTTTTCTGAACACAGCTCTGTGCTAGGGAATCCCCTCAAGTTTACATAAATAACCTCACTTTTTCCTCATGACCCTCCAAGAAGGCGGTGGCAACTGGTTTTACAGTTCAGGCTCAGTGAGGCCTGAAAATCGGGCTGCTGTTTCCAGCCCAGGCAGGCCTGCCTGCATTCGAAGCTCAGGCAGGGTCTCACCATCCTGCTTCTCCTGTGCGCACAGCTGTCTGCCCTCAGCCTTGGCCACACAGCAGCCCAGGCAGCAGGAAGGCCTGGAGGACCCCTGGGAGAGGGGCCAACAGCCACGGTGCCAGACTGCCGTGCGCAGCCAGGTGGCGAGGAGGGTGTCAAGTCCTAGAGCCTGGAACCTCAGCTCCCTCAGGTGTCCCCACTGCCCTGGGCTAGCAGGAGCCACAGCCACCCCCTGCCCCATCTCCACCCACAGGACTGACCTGCAGACTCGTGAAAACGGCTCTGCAGTGTGACAGCCTGACTTATACCTGGTCCAAAGCCAGCCCGGCCTCCTGCTCTCCCCCTGCAGTGAGCGCTGGACCCATAGCCACGGGGAGACGCAGACTGGGAAACTGTCGGGATTGTCCTGCTTGGGGGAGAAACCCCCAGAGCCCCATGCCATGGCAGTAGAAACGTGGCAGGGGAGGACCCTCCCCCCGTACATGGACCTGGGAACAAGCAGGCACCTGGGAGCAGCTGAAGGTTGACTACAGCGGGCCGGCAGGGCACAGCAGAACACTACCCTGTCGGCCTCTCGGTCCCTGCAGCCAGAGCTGGCAGGGCGGGGAGCAGCCAGCCAGCTGCGTATGCAGTGGATGGGGTGGGGGTGTCCAGGGAGATCTACACATCCCGAGAGGCCCAGTTGCCTTCAGGTGGACAAACCTCTGCCCAGCAGGGCAACAAATACTCTCCCCCACTCCCAGGCTGGGCTTGTTGCCCACTTGAGGGCTTCCCTGAGCCCCATCTCACCCCAGCTGAGCTCCAGGTCCCCCTCTGCCAGGTCACCCACCTGCCCCTGGCTGGGCTCAGGCACCTCATGTGAAATTCCCTCAGGACCCAGGAGAGGGAGAGATATGGGTCCCCCTTTGCAAGCAGGAACACTGGGTGTCTCTCGGTGGCTTCGAGGATGCTGTGAAAGCCCAGGAGGCTGCGTGGTTGTGTGGCCAGCTGACAGTGACGACCATCTCACTCTGCCCTGAACACTCATGCAGGGATAGAAGCCGCCAGAACCTTCTCTCAGGTCCAGAGCCCAAGCAGCCCATGGCATTTCATTTCATTCTTTCCTTTTTTTTTTTTTAAGAGAGATTTTCGCTATAGGGTGTGCGTGCTCACCAGAGAGACAGAGGGACAAAGAGAGACACAGAGAGACAGAGAAACAATAACTCGCCCCCAGGGGGGATGGCCATGCTGCAGTCCATCCTCCTCCATTCTCCTCTTGGGATTTGGGCACGCATGCATGCACAAACATGTGTCCAGCCTGAGTTTTAAGCCACCACATATGGGATTTGAACCATGGTTGACTACATGGGAGTCCAGCAATGTAGCTACTTAACACCATCTGCTGGTCCCAGCCCATGGCATTCCATAACTCAAGTCCTTCTTCACAGTGTTGTCCCTCTCCTCCTGTCTTCACCATTGTATTGGGGTCTTCAAGAGAGGCCTAGCTTTCCTGTCACCCCCCTTCTTCCTCCTGACGTCTGCTTTCCTGGCACCAATCCTGGGTGTGGAGTTTGTCCTGGGGACTGGCGGGGGCCCTCTTCCTCTTCCACGTCCGCAGGTGGCCCTGGACGTCCAGCACACTGCTCCTGGTCAGCCTGGTGTTTCCCAACTTTCTCCTGACCTCAGCCTGTCCTTCTGCAGGGACTGCTACTTCCTGTGTGAGATGAATTCGGGGGCCACCACCTGCAAGGTCAGCCTCTCCATGATGCCCCTAAAGCAAGGTGTTGTGCTCCACCTCTCCCTGACGGTGGCAGCCCCCCTGCCAGAGAGGCCTCTAAGGGGGCAGTGCAGGTGGTTGGGACTCCGGGGAGCACCTGCTCCTGACCACTAATTTCAGCCACTCCTCTCCTAGTTACGGGTTGGGCATAAAAACCTCAGTCTCACTCTGCTGGCGCCAGGCACTGTAAGGCTGGAGTTCTTCCTGATGCTGGGGCTCATCCTCTTTGCCAGTGTGAGCATCGGGCTCATCATCCAGACAGGGGAGGAGACAGGCGGCGGCAGGCAGGCGGGCCACGGAGGGCTCTGTGCATGCTGGCGATGGTGGTGCCGTCTATGCCACCTGCTCAGCACCATCTTCAGCACGCCTTCCATGGTGGCCTTCTAGCCACAGGCCTGCCACACCACATCGGCATATGGTGAGTCCACAGGTCCCCGGCCC